GCAAACAGGTCCAAGTAGATGAGTCATACCAAATACTCAGGCTATTGGAGCCATCAAAGTGAATTTAGAACACTTTGGAAATATATTGGAAAAAGAGCTTGTATTAAATTATTTAAAATACAAATAAAAACCAATGTATTATCTCCAATTGATCTTGATATTTCAGACTGACCGGAGGCCGTATTTCTACACTATGCGTTCCCACAGCCACCTCTGCACTCCACGGAGAAATTCATGATATCATGCTCAGCGACATGAAACAATCTATAATGCCGTACAACATGTGGGGCGAAGCCATTCAGTTTGCCGCTTTGAAGAAATCTGTTCACAACAACAAACACAACAAGGATAAAAATCATGGGAGGTTTTTTTGGGGATTCAAACCCACTGAACGAATCAAACACATACATCCTTGTGGAAGTTGCGTTCATCAATCAGTCACGTGATGGCAAACTGGACGACCGCGCCAATATCGGTGTGTACTTAGGCCATGACCACCAGTCCAAATACAAAGACGAATGCCAGATCCTCAACCTGAAGACGGGTAAAATATGTCACTCTCGTGATGTTAAATTCAATTACCAAGTCCTTCCAAAATGGACTATGCTAGGCAACACCCCAGTTCCAAAATTTGATACTGCTGTCACAGACATACCCACCATTCCCTGACAGCAACACACACATCATCACAACAACTTCTATTGGTACACAGACAGACGAGATCGTCAACCCAGACACAACAAATGACAATAATCTGCGGGATCTCTCACCTGCACTACTACCTACCCCAATAACACACTCCATACCACGCCCACTTCTGCCTACGTCCAACACAACAATTTCATCGCATACTGCGCCAGCTATGGAAGATAATATCAACAACGCATTACGACCACATATTCAATGTCACCCTGAATCCCGTACACTTCGTGGATTATTACTCGAGTCCCGCCAGAATTCAGGAATACTCAACGAACCACACCTACCCAATAACATGCGAATGACGCGATAGCGCGCCCGCCAGATGCAAGCGTACAACAACACCAACCAATACGGCAGTGACGGTCAGTTTTCTTCCAGTACCTCTCTTCCAGGGGAGTCTAACAAGATTACAACAACAGTGTTGAACTCACCTTCTACTACAATACAACCAAATCAAGTTCATTCTGATATTACAGAGGAGACTACCGCTTGTGACATGCCTGCAGCCCCTAATTCCATATCAACCAAATACCATAACGATTACCGGGGAGCACACTTCTTGTTCTACGCCAATTATCCCTTCGCCCATCAACACACCCCCCGCTTCCAGGGGAACACGACCCACTTCCAACTACACATACAAACCAAATATCATGGGCACGTGATTTGGAAAACAGCGGCATACTCACTGTTCTTCAGAACCAAGACAGGCCAACATCGTCTGAAGAGGGAAATCTTTGCCAGAAATAGCTACGCGCGTTAGAAAACTCTAAACTTACAAACACCAAATAGACGTTGATACCGCACATCCTTTTGCCGATCTCGATGAACCAATCTATATGAGGCCACCACCGGGTGCAAACGCTACGAGACTACCTGCCAACTGTGTCATGAAACTCAAAAAGTTCTTGTATGGATTCAAACAATCAGGTCGATTGTGGTATGCGTTGATAAAGTTCAAACTACTCGCGATGGGCTTCCGATAGTCTGATGGTGACCAGTGCATGTTTATCGCTGATATTGATGATCTGAAATGTGTCGTACTGCTATACGTAGACGATCTTATCATATGCTGACAACGCAAATCAGACGTCGATCACTTCAAATCCCTTGTGATCCAGATCAAATTCAGCTGCAAGGATCTGGGAGAGCCACGATGGCTTATAGGGGTGCATGTCCTTACTACACCAGACTCTATTTGTCTCGGCCAAGATAGTGCCATCAAGGAGGCTCTAGAGATGTTTGATCTAGCCGAAAGCCATTCTGCACCCACACCTGCAACACAAGAACAAGTCGCTAAAAATAAGGAACCACGCCATCTATGTGCATATCGTGAACTCATCGGCACCCTTCAGTAGCTTTCAGTCTTGACTCGAAAACAAAACTGGTCAGCTGCACAACGCATCCTGCGGTATCTCAAAGGTACACCACATCTAATATCACAAGGGCCCCCGAATTGCCGATGCTGGCTCCGACGCCGACTACGCTCCCTGCTCGGACACCAGACGCTCCATAACAGGCTATATTGTCCTACGTATCAACCACATATCCGTAGCGTAGAAATCTCACCGGCAGAAACCATCTCTACTAGCTCTACGGAATCAGAATATTTCGCTGCGTCTGAGGCCGCCAAACATATTCAATGGCTTCGAAATACCCTCGAGGAACTCGGCTTCCCTCAGCAGACCCCCACCGTATTACAATGTGATAACAAATCAACAATACATGACGTTACATCCACTGGCCATACGAAGCACCTTAAATACATCGATGCTCGCGTACAACACACCAAGGAGCTCTAGGAAATCGGGTCATTCGCGTCGAATTCATTTCTTCCGGGGACAACCAGTCCGATATTTTAACCAAAAACACTGCACGTCCTACACACTCGCGTTCGGTTTTATAATCTATATTTTTTAAGACTTGCTTTTTTATAAAAAATAATACTTGTCGAGTTGTCGAGTTGTGTCGTAAATACAATTTTTTCAATACAAATAGTTAGAAAATATAAATGTACATAAAACTCCAACAGAGGCCAACTGCAACAGTCAGTCCACTGTCTCACAGACAGAGTGCCACTCTGTCACCGTATCGCGCTGCTCGGCTGCTGAGTGCTGACTCTGAACTGGAGTCTGGGCCCTGGGGTGACTGACTCTGAACTGGAGTCTGGGCCCTGGGGTGACTGACTGACAGTTGCAGAATTCAGACTTCTTGCACTAGTTGCAGAGGATAAATATTTCATTGTTTCATCATGAGTAATTGAGAAGGCGATGTATGGTTTCTTATACTAAAAATCTAACAAAACCCGAAAACCATTTTAAATACAAATCGAGTGAATTTTTTTTATTTAGAAGGCTATATCGAGAAGTGTTGCCTGTTTTTAGAAACCCCCCAAAATAGTTCTCTTGTATATAAATAAATACTATTTTTTAAAAACAAAAATAGAGCTGGAGAAACCAACGCTTCATCTGATGATCTTAGATCGGACACGCCGCTGACAACACTTGCAGAATAAATATATGCTTTGTTTTGAAAAAAAATAACATCAACAAAAAGTTCGTCGAGAAAAAAAAAGTTATATGTAAAATATATAAAAACGAGCCATTTTTGGTTTTGTTTTTGAAAAACAAAAAGCCCAAGCGCCCATTCCAAGTCACACACATTCGGAGAGAAGAACCACAACTGGCACAACAAGGACCAAGCCCCTGTCAACTGTGAGTCAGACCGTCAGACGATCAGCGGGGATTAGCACAGTGGTATTTTAAAAGTGATCAGTGATCACTGACTGATCACTGATGATAAACCTAAAAGCAGTAAATGTGTAATTATTTTAATATTTAGAGTGAAAAATTGGCACCGATAATTCAGAAGTTCCAAATAAAATCACTATTTTTTTTTTTGATACATAATATTACCGCAGGCAGAAAAGAGTCTAGGGACGAGCGTGCACTGGGCTGTCTGGGCAGAGGACACAGTGAGAAGCTATTCTACGCATAATATAAAAAATAGATAAATATACTGTACTTACATACCTAATACAGCAGTTGTAAATACATGACATAGTGTCTATATATTTATATTCATTCATTTGTTTTTTAAATAGACTGTAGGTACCGTACCTGCATGCACAGGCGTAATCCTATCTGTGAACGGCAACATGACACCCTCAGACGTTGCGATAGTGCGCCAGACATCGCGCACCATTGAGCAGGCATCTCGCCAAATTTCACGCGATGACAAATTGACACATGTTCTGTCACCTCGTTCAAGACATGTTAACGGACAACTTGATACAAGCTTGGAGGGGACCGCTAGTGCATGCATCACACCTCACACACCTCGAACTATTCGTACAAGGACAGAAGTCGATCAAACAAAACCAAATAGGTTCAAGATCGTGCCGTTAAATAGCGACGGTAGACCGCTAAGCGTACCGACTTACGCACCCAATGTGGCAGAGAGCTCTTTTGATTCTGAAACAAGTAGATTCCACTCAGCTCGAAATCTGTATGTACCAGCTTCAGGTATACCTATGCGTAGGAACAGTTCAACACCGGTGGAGGAAGGTTTCCGGCACTTTGCGCCAGAACACACCTTTAGCTCACGATGGGGGGACGACAATACTGCTACCATCGGATATTCAGAAACAAATGTAAACAAGGACACGTGCACACGCACGGGAAGTGACCCGATTGTTCGAAGTGCACCTCAGTCACCCTGGATGGTACGCGATGGCCGTAGTGCTGGAAGGTTCACAGTCACAGCCCTGGATACAAAAGTGAGCGCAGACGATCTGTATGATAGGTCTGGTTTGCGGTCCAACCAGTCCGCACCTCAGCGTAGACTGAACAGTGTGGATTCAGTTCACGAAAGCCTAAAGGGCAGTTGCCTCCCAAGGCCTCCGACTAACACTAACCAGGTAACGTACGGCAGGAGTGCGAGCATCTCGGGCGGATGCGCATCTGGGGTGGTCCGAGCTCACGCAGACACGTGTAGCTCCATCTCGCCCGAGTCTCGAGATACCATACCCATCAAACTACAGCGATCCAAGCTGGTCCCAGATACAGAAGCAAACACTATATCGGAGGGTATCAAGCAGCCTCAGCACCCACACCGCGGACGATTGCATCAACACATGCCACCTCCATTGGTAGTCAATAAAGACCTGCCGACTGGCCGTGCAGGGCATACCAAGGCAGACGGTCCAAGGCACCCCTCGACACCCACGTGTGTTAGTGGGGCGGTGCGAAAAATGCCTGCGAACACCAAGCGGACTTCTCGGGGAAACGCGCAAGCACCCACGCAAATGGTTACAAACACAGAGACGAGCACGTCGGTGGACTTTGATGAGATGGCACACGCCGGAGCCTCAGCCCCGGCCAATCAGAGCTTCCCCTCTAAACGCATGTCACTGCCGATAGCGATTACAGAGGAGGTTGTAGTATCAACGCCACACGTAGTAGGCTTGAGTGGTTTGCCTGAGGGCAACACTTCAGCTCAGGACGACGGGGCCACATACGGCACGCGAACAGCAAATGTGGCTGTACCATCACAGACGGATACACTGATGCGGGAGATGTTGGATGTCATTAAAGAGCAGCGACAGGAGATGAGGGATGTTTCGGCCTCAGTGCTGGCGCTCCAGGCGCAGATGCAGATGCAAGCGGATGTGGCCAATGCACGGATAGACGCGTTGCAAGAGGTGTGTCAGCAGCAGAGTGCGCTGCTGCGACAGTTGGCGAGGGAGCATAAGGGGGCCAACGACGATGACGTGTGTGTACAGAGTATGATGAATGCGATTGTCACGCAGGGGTTTGATATAGACTGTCTCAGGGCAGAGAACAAGATACTCCGATCAGCGAAGTGTGTGTGACGGGGATGGGATAGAACAAGAAATATAGTATGATTATTAGCAAAGTAAAAAATACGAAGTTAATGTTAATAGCAACATAAAGTATACGCAGTCAATATCAATAGCAAAATAAAGTATATACAGTCAATATCAATAGCAACATAAATTATACGCAGTCAATATCAATAGCAACATAAATTATACGCAGTCAATATTAATAGCAAAATAGACTATACGCAGTCATTATCAATAGCAAAATAAAGTATACGCTGACAATATCAATAACAACATCAAGTATACGCGGTTAATACCAATAGCGAAATGAAGTATATGCAGTCATTATCAATAGCAACTATATGCAGTCACTATCAATAGCAACATAAAGTACATGCAGTCAATATAAATAGCAACATAACGCATATGCGATCACTATCAATAGCAAATATAGTATACGCAGTCAATAATGGAGAGCAACATAAAAGTATACGCAGTCAATATTAATAGCAAAATAAAAAATATGCAGTTATAATCAATAGCAAAATAAAGTATATGCAGTCATTATCAATAGCAAAATATAGTATATGCAGTCATTATCAATAGCAAAATATAGTATACGCAATCTAAAATGAAGAGCAACATAAAGTATACGCAGTCAATATCAATAGCAAAAGAAAGTATACACAGTCAATATCAATACTAACATAAAATATATACAGTTATTATCAATAGCAAAATATAGTATATGCAGTCATTATCAATAGCAAAATAAAGTATATGCAGTCAATATCAATCGCAAAATATAGTATACACAGTCTAAAATGAAGAGCAACATAAAGTACACGCAGTCAATATCAATAGCAAAAGAAAGTATACACAGTCAATATCAATACCAACATAAAATATATACAGTTATTATCAATAGCAAAACATTGTATATACAGTCATTATCCATAGCAAAATAAAGTATATGCAGTCATTATCAATCGCAAAATATAGTATACACAGTCTAAAATGAAGAGCAACATAAAGTATACGCAGTCAATATCAATAGCAAAGAAAGTATACACAGTCAATATCGATACCAACATAAAATATATACAGTTACTATCAATAGCAACATAAAGTATATGCAATCATTATCAATAGCAAAATATAGTATACGCAGTCAATAATGACGAGCAAATTAAAGTATACGCAGTCAATATCAATAGCAAAATATAGTATACGCAGACAATATCAATAACAACATAAATTATACGCGGTCATTATCAATTGCAAAATAAAGTATACACAGTCAATATCAATATCAAATAAAGTATATGCAGTCAATATCAATAGCAAAATATAGTATACGCAGTCAATATCAATAACAACATGAAGTATACGCAGTCATTATCAATTTCAAAATAAAGTATATGCAGTCATTATCAATAGCGAAATATAGTACACGCAGTCAAAAATGAAGAGCAACATAAAGTATAGGCAGTCAATATTAATAGCAGAAGAATGTATACACAGTGAATATCAATTGCAAAATATAGTATACACAGTCAATATCAATAGCAACATAAAGTATATACAGTCATTATCAATAGCATATACAGTCATTATCAATAGCATATACAGTCATTATCAATAGCATATACAGTCATTATCAATAGCATATACAGTCATTATCAATAGCATATACAGTCATTATCAATAGCATATACAGTCATTATCAATAGCATATACAGTCATTATCAATAGCATATACAGTCATTATCAATAGCATATACAGTCATTATCAATAGCATATACAGTCATTATCAATAGCATCATGATGTATATGTTATCATTATCAATAGCAAAATATAGTATTTGCAGTCAATGATGAAGAGCAAAATAAAGTATACGCAGTCAATATCAATAGCAAAATATAGTATACGCAGTCAAATTCAATAACAACATAAAGTATACGCATTCAGTGTCAATAGCAAAATAAAGTATACACAGTCAATATCAATAACAACATAAAGTTTATACAGTCATTATCAATAGCAACATAAAGTATATGCAATCATTATCAATAGCAAAATATAGTATTTGCAGTCAAGAATGAAGAGCAAAATAAAGTATACGCAGTCAATATCAATAGCAACATACAGTATCGGCAGTCAATATCAATAGCAGAAGAAAGTATACACAGTCAATATCAATAGCAACATAAAGTATATACAATCATTATCAATAGCAACATAGAGTATATGCAATCATTATCAACAGCAAAATATAGTATACGCAGTCAGAAATGAATAGTATCATAAAGTATACGCAGTCAATATCAATAGCAAAAGAAAGTATCTACAGCTGTTGGTGCTAACTTACACATGCGCACTCAATTGCCGCATAAGCTGCAAAATTCTAACAGAGCCTCTGACTATTCCCACAAGCGTCACTAACGTGTCTGTAAGCACAGCCAAATATGTAGCACTTTGCATAGGTACACACAAGTATATTACTCTCTCTTAATCATAACTTGAACTACATACCTATAATTAAAATAAAACAACACCAATCGTAGCGGATTCTAACTGCACCCAGAGAGACATTTACATAATTTAATTCATAATAAATGAAATACGTATGTCGCTATATCGGACCCAGTGAGACACGTACATAAATTTATTTATAATAAACGACGTACGCACATCGCTAATTCCCATCGGATCCTGCCGGTAACTTATTAAATTTCTCACAGAAGGCAATCATTTCATTGACACTCCTATCCGAACTCGAGGTGCTTGTGAACATCTGGTGTTTCTCCACTGCCTTGCCGTCGAAGTAGAACTTGCCTGAGTAGCTAGTATCCACCTCTGGCGCCACACACAGGTAGTACATTCCCATCATACCATCCCTCGGATCTCTGAGACGGACAAACGAAATGCAACCAGACATACGGGAGATTAGCTGCTGCTTGATAACATTGGGGCCTAGTTAACGGTATGCATATAGCAGAATCAGGGTATCTATACATGTGATGAGGCCATGCCATATACGTAAAAGAGAAAGCGTTTTAATACATCGGATCAGACATCGGAGGCTAGGGCACATATTGGGAACCTCCGTTAACCCGTTGCGCAGGGCTCAGTTGAGAAGAAACGCGAAAACACCTCAACAAAAAACACGTACAACAATGTGTAGGAAGTATCTATCTCTTACCTGAATGTGATGCTACCACACGCACACCAAAGATTTGCAAGTATCTATTTCTTAGGTTATGTAATATCTCTCGCTCTCTCACCTGAATGTGATGCTGCCGTATCCCGCATGCTGATCCAGTAGAGGCTTCAAACCTTCCGTCTCGCACCACCCGGGATGGTTAGTCATGATAACAGTACCATCCTCGCTGTAGCAGTCTGCCAAGAAGTCGCTCATCTCCAACATCGCTCGTTTACATACAGCATACACTAACGCGCCGTCGACTTTGTTGTCTTTCTTGACATATGTCTTGAACCCATCTTTGAGTGCAGCCACATCCATCTGTGCGCCATATAGCCCAGCAGACGCGTTGTTGATGACCCGCCCGTTGCCTAACTTCAGTTGTGCGTGTAAGCCTGCGGGTGGATAACATGTCGCATTTGAGTACATAGCTAACTAGCTCATGTATATATATATATATCTATATATATATATATATATATTTGTACATACACACACACACACACACACATATATATATATATATATATAATAATAGTATATAACGTAGTAGCTATTTAGTA